TTAAGAATACTCAACAATTCAATATAGCCATTTCACTCCTAGATATTCACCTAGGAGAGAAAGGTAACAAATGTTCACATAAAGATTATACTAGAGAGCTGAGGTTATGGCTCAGAGGTAGAGCACTTGCCGCCTAGCGTGCGTGAGGCACTGGGTTTGATCCTCAGCACCAAATAAAGGTCTTGTGTCCACCTATAACTAAATAAAATAAAATAAATGTTAAAAAAAGATTATACTAGAAAATTCATAGAAGCTTTATTTATAACAGTCAAAACTGGCTTGTAATTGAAAAAGAACTCAAATGTCCCTACAGCTATACAGTCACATACTTCTCAGCAATAAAAACTAATTACTGATACATGCAACAGTGTGGATAAATCCCAAATAATTATGCTGAGTAAAATAAGTCAGACCCAAGAGTACATGCTGTGTATTTTCACTTAAGAGATGCAAACTCATCTATAGTGTAACAGAAAGTAGCTCAATAGTTGCCTGAAGATTGGCACTGCTGTGCCTAATTTTTCTTTTAATTGCACCACATACTTCTGTGCATATTTATAATCCTTTCCTTAGAATAAATTTTGTTCCTAGGAACAAAATTTCTGGCTGAAAGGCACAGATCACATAAGACTTATTCTGCTTTACTCACTTTTGCCAAGCCTCCTAAGCCATCCCAACAAGGAGCTCATTTAGAATGCCTAGGTAAGCCTTATTTTACCTATTCTGCTTTATTTTTAAGCTGTTCCTATGAGCCTGTATGTGCACAAACATGTCTACATCAACTGGTGGTATTAAATATATTGGTCTAGATCATCTGTTACAGACAAAAGATCACAGCAGTTTGGCCTAATTAGATATATTTACAGAGTAATTGTAACAATGAAATAATTATCTTGGTTTTATTTATTTATTCAGTGGGCACCAATCAACCAATGCCCTTTTCATTACCATCACTCTATTATCTTTATATTTGTTAATAGTTGCAACCATGTTTTAAACATCTACTGTGTTCCAGGTACTGTACCTGATACTTAGATCATCTCTTTTAATCCTCAAGATGTATGCACTAGCTCTCATTTTATAGGTGAGTAAATGGGACTCAGAAGATAGTATGGAAGAATATGAATTTAAATCCAATTCTACCCTAAACCAAGTCTCTTTCCAGTAAGATTTAGATTACTTTGAGATAACCAGTAGGACTCTGTCCTTTTGCTGCACTGGTTAAGAATTTGATGGAAAATGTGGGAATCATGGGAGAGAAGAACTCATGTTAGTCAATAAATAATTACTGAATGCTAACTATACTGTAGGTATTACTTAGGCAGGTAAGGAAAGAGCCATGAACAACTGTTAAATTTAAGTTCCTACATTGATGCTATTCTTGTATTAACTGAACAAAATATATTATTTAGACTCATACAAGTATAGTTTAGTAGAACAGTATCTTCATTACGGTAAATTAATACATAATACTCCCAATTTTTAAAAGCACGCTGGGTGTGATAATGCACACTTATAATCCCAGAGACTCGGGTGGCTGAGGCAGGAGGATCATAAATTAAAGGATAGCTTACAGCAACTTAATGAGAGCCTGTCTCAAAACTAAAAGTAAAAACAAAAATGACTGGTTATGTAGCTCAGTAGTAGAAAACTTGTTTATCATGTGTGAGGCCCTAGGTTCAATACTGAATACA